CAAATGCGTCAAGTAGCGCAAATGTAGATAAGTTATCGGACCAACTAGACCGGCCAGATATACTGCACAGTCACAGTCACAGTCACCGGCAAAAGTATGCAAACGAGTTTAAAATTGAGTCTGCGACTCACCTCGCGCTGACTGGGTCAAAAAATAAATTAATATAAAAATAAAAACAAAAACAATATTCTCACAAATTTTGTGCGGCAATGTGTGGGCGGCTTTTTATTTTTTCATTACTTGTTCTCGTTTTTATGCATCAGTTTTTATTAAATATATAAATGTGTCTAGGCACATATATATATATATATATTTCTGGAAATTTATGCGTTTCATAAAAGCAGCGCAGAAGACACACAAAGCGACAGTATTTTGTATAGCTGCGAGGGCTGTTTGATAAGTGGAAGAGAACTTCAAAAGTGCAGTAGTGTTGCATAACGACTCAATAGTATCGATAGTGCACCTAATCGATACTAATAATCAACAATCGATGATAATATCTGGGCGGCAAATGGGCGATATATATACAAAAGTGCTGTCAAACTATCGATAACAAATGTTTTAAGGGCTTTTATCGATAGCACACCCTGAAAAATTGATCGACTTTGAAATCGAAACAGTTACAACTAAAATATGGCAACTTTTTCATTGGAAATATTGTGCTCTACCGAATTTCCTTGCGGTCCTGCACTGATTACATTTCCCAGAATCTCATAAGGATTTCTAAGCTGGCATAGAAACGTCCTTGATTTAGATAATTGTCTTCAGAATTGCCAGGAACTGAGATACAAATTGCTAACCTTAACAGCATATTAACATAATTGGGTCAGTAACTGGGAAAAAATGTTTGATTTCCGCTCGAAGAACTAGAGTTCCATTTTCCGGGAATCAAACATTACAAATCAATTTGGATTTTGAATCGAAACTCAAGTGTATAGAGCACAAAAATGATGGGAAAATTGATAAAAAAAAAAAGGAAAGGAAAACCCGCACGAGTCATGGAGGGGCCCTCGTGCAAGTACTCTTATATTTATAACATTTTGTAAGTGGAACGACGACACAAAGTCTAATTTACTGCTAATAAAAAAAGCAGCGCGATGGGGACAAAATGCTGCAACAGTAACAAAAAAAAAAAGCCGTCCAGAAGTGGCAAACACAAAATTCAATTTTATTCCCTGGCCCGACAACAACAACAACAGCAACGCGGAGAACTGTCAAAAAGTTGTTGTGCGGGCGTGCGACATATCGACCGATATATATATTTTTTTTTGGTTCGATTTGACATGCCGAACATATTGACAGTCCATATTGCCATATTGCCAGATTGGCATGTCATGAGCTGCAGATATCGTGCGTTAATTGGCTTTTAAAAGTCATTTAGTGTTTGCTATTGGCTCTTGTCTTGGCCCCGTCTAACACGGCGTATACGCAATCTGTTCGGGGGCTTAAATGTGTCAGGCAATTGCTTTGGGAATTGGCTAGCTCACGTGCTCGCCTTATCGAGCAATAGATATATATACACATATATGTATATATCCAGCACGTAATAGTGCCTAATGAAATTTATCTACTTTGTATTCTTATCTTTAGTTGGCGAGATATTATATTATCTTCAAAGCATGAGTCTCGCCTTGAAGGTGGGCAGACTATGTAGAGTATGTCCACAAGCCTGCCGAGTAAGCTGCATAAACAATTTACAAGTTGCCTTCTAATCAGTTTTCTTGACTTGGGACAAAGTTCATAAATTATTAACCCCCAACGAAGAGTTCTATTATGCAATACAACAAGCACCAAATAGAAAGCTTGGACTCTATTAAAATGTGCTAGATGTAAGCCTTAGAGCTACATTTCCCTTTGTCTGGCATGACATGCGACGGTAGAGGAAGAGGGACGGCCTTTGGCTGTCAACTCAATGAAGCATTCAAAAGAGGATTATCTTATGCTGCATGTGAACAACTGAAGAGTAAAATTCATTAGAGTAAGCTTCAAGAGCTGTGTGCTTTAAATTTATGGGGAATTAATTTGGATTTTGTCTGTAAATCTTGGGTGTCAATCAAATGACAGCAAAAGGTTGGCAAGAGCTGGTCAGAAATATTCCAAAACAAATCGGTTTAAAGGCGTTTATTAAAGAATATAAACTAAACTAATTCAAGCCTGCGAAAGCCTTAATTTAATGTATCTTAAGGATTATTATTATTACGAGCTAAGCATGTGGCTGTAAACTGTTAACAAAGCTTCTGCAAGGATCTTCGGCTCAGACTTGCTTCGGCCGAAAAGCCTCGCTTTTGGCCTATTTATTTAGCTGTTTGCCATTGGCAATTCCATTTGTTGAGTTTGTTTGAGTTGTAATATTTTTAACTGGCAAACCAATTTATTTGGCCTGATTAATTTGGCTTTTATCTATTGTTGATATAAATCGCAAATTAGATGGAAATATTGATGAACTTTGTGAATTGTTTGCTTTGCCGCTGGCAAATGAAAAACTAAGTGGGGTAGGAGTGTGGGTGGGTGATTGGTTTGTCCAGAGAGTAACTGGATCTGTAGCTGAAGGTCGTCGCTTTCATTTCGGCCAAATTCGTGTGGCTTTTACCTCATGGCAAGGCAATTAAACGGATTTTTATGAGCTGTCTAAAAATGTTTTGAAGAACTTTTCGAATAGTGTTTTTTCTATGCGATGGCGTTGAGGGTGGATATATACGTACATATAATCAATATATATGCTTGGCTGACTGCCGTTAGTCACGCGTTTTGTTGTGTTTTTATTTGGCCCAACTCCCACGCAATAAATGGCCAACAATCAGATGACAAACTGTGCCCAATTATTATGCATAACAAATTGCAAATTATGCGCAATATTTGTGAATCATTTTTTATCACATTTGTGCGTGTGCGTGTGTGTGTGAATATTTACAAATAATTCATCAAAAATAGCAACTTTGAATTTTATTAATAGACTGCTTTTGTTTGTTAGCTAGTCAAATTAGGCTTAAGTCTGGCAAACGAAAACTAATTAATAAAAGTTAAGTTCAGTTAAGTTCAGTTAAGTTCTGTTAAGTTTGATTAAGTTTATTAAATTCATTGAATCAACTTGGCCACAGGTAAATTGTATTAAGCCCCACGACGCATTAACTTTTTGGCCAGGTAAAGCAAAATACACACACGCACGTACGCACGCACGCACACAGAGAGACGCGCGCGCGCGCGCGTATAATTATTGCACATACGCCGCGTTGTACTTAGCTCTCGTTTAGCTCGAGATTTTGTTGGCCTTTCGAGGTTTTGTTTATTTAAGCGCAATGCTACAATTTTATGTGTGTGTTGTGCTTGTTCGTTTCTATTTTTGATCCCATCGCTAGGTGTAAACTTTATGCCCGAAATTAATTCGCATATGCGCCGGAAAGTTCGCCGTTGCACAAAAGAAAAACATGTTTTTTTCGTACATTGTTTTCACCTGTGTGAAAAACAATTCGAAATTTTTCCTTCGTCGTTGTTTTTGTTTTTTTTTTTTGGTACGCACGCAGCAGCTAAATGAAATAATATATGTATAAATTCAAAGAAGAGGCAAGCCCAATAAAAGGCAGGCAGAAAGAAAGAAACCGAGAAAATTGAACGCTAAGAGAAATGAAAAAGTAATAAAGGCAATAACTACAACAGGCTACACACACAAAGGACCAGGTCTTGTCTTCATGATGGGATTTTCACGTGCAACAAGAAGAAAATGTAGAGCAAGAGGAAGCAGCAAAGGCAACAACACAAAACCCTTGTCAATGGCAAAGCCCGTAATACACACACACACACGCACACGGCAGTAAGGCTCCTTTGTGCCCCCACCCCCCCCCTTTCCCGGCGCAACTGTCAATAAAAATGCCTTTGAGCTGCGGCAAACATACAAGGAAAAAAAAAACATTTTCATGACTTATTACGAGGCCTCAATAAAACCCTCCACTTAATTAAAGGACATAAGAAATATGTTTAAAATATATATGTGCTCTCCCTCTCTCCCTCTCTCTCTCTCTCTCTCTCTCTCTCTCTCTCTCTCTCTCTGTCTGTCACTTGCTACTTTTTAAGCTTCTGCATTATGAAAAAGAGAAGAAGGAAAAAACATACAAAGCTCTTAAAGTGCTTTACATATGCTCCACGCTTAATTACCGTTCGAGCCTAAATGAAAGCTGCCCATCGCGCGCACGGGAACTGTTAAGCTCGAATAATGTATTACATTCATCTTGGCCTGTTCTGTGCCGGGTGCGCAACACAATCAATAAAACGCCCCGGCCAATGGCCAAATGGAATAAGACGCTGCGGCTCGTGTAGGAAACGTGCGGACATGCAAGGAATCTGCCTGACGGGCACAACTGAATGGGAATAATACCGTTAGCAGTAATGGGAAAGAGAGAGCGAGCGAGAGGGAGAGCGCAGATAAGTGGTGGAAGCCGTAGCTTGCCGCAGGCCATTGAATTGTATATGCTACGCTAGTATTTGCTCTGTCCCACCTCCCACAGACTCTCAATGTCAGCAGCGTTCCCATTGCCATTCCTGGCTTCTGTTGGCAAGTACGTCACCAGCTGGTCGCTGCTTGGAAATGTGTGCGCGTAACTAACCTGACCGCTGGCCCCCGCTAATGTTGATAGATGATGGAGTTTGATGGATGTCTGTGTGTGTGTGTGTGTGTGTGTGTGAGCGAGATATGGATGAATGTCTGTCACATAAAACGAAAACAGAAAAGCTCTTATAACAAGTGCAACTATTTACTTAAGGTAAAATAAAAGCAGTATAAGTGCACGACAGCGTTGCCACTTAATGCACACACTTAAACGGCAATTGCCAACGTTGCCAACGTTGCCAGCGGGCTGGCGGGCTGGCGGGCAGCGTAACGCTAAAATGAATTTATTTGTTTATCAAGCAATGCCACCCTTGAAGGAGTTATTGATAAGCGCGTAAAATATTTAATCGCGCAAAGAAACTAATGGAAATCAACAATAACAACAAGAACAAGCACTCACCTGACTTTGACGCTGCTGCTAGACCACAAAACGATGTTTGTCTCTCTCTCTCTCTCTCTCTCTCGCTCTCTCTGTCGCTCTCGCTCACTTGCTGTCTCCACTCGCTGACTTTTTACTTCTTATGATTACTGTTGTTGCTGCTGCTGCTATTGGCTAAAACCAAATTTAATTTGTTACTTTTGGGTTGGCTTGCTTGGGTTTATCGGAGGGCGCAAGGCATAGGCGAAGGGAAGTACGGGGGCGAGGGCGAGGACGCAATCGAAGTTGAAGGCAAATCAAAGCTTCAACTTTTTCTGCTGCTGCTGCTGTCGTTCGTTAATTTAATGTATCTTTGATGTTTCAACAAAATATTTCATTTGCTTTGATAGAAAATAGGAAATTTTTCGTTAACACACACTCAAACGCATATTTGTATATATGAATGCTTTTCAAATAAGAGTAGAAAAAAACAGTGTGGATTTTATCGTTATCATGTCGCAAGTCCAATTGGTACAACGATTCCAATAAGATATACTGATTTGTATTTGTTAATGCCAATACGAGCCGCAAAGTTGTTAAACTCGTAAAAGCAACAACAATTTGATCAATTTGCGGTGTGTTAAGGTATTCTTTGTTCACACACGCATTCGGTTTTTTGGCAATGTAATTGTTTAATTAATTGTGTGTGCGCGTGTGTGTCTGTGAATTATTTGCGCTTAAATAAACATTGAATATTTTCTGCGTGTGTGCACAGCAATTTGTTAAGTCTGTTTGTAGTGCAATATAGGTGTGTGCACACACACGGACATATATACATATATATATTCATAGCTGCGTGTGTGTGTGTGTGTGTGTATGTGTGTGTGTCTGTCTGTGGGGTTTTCGCACGTTTGCTTGTATTGTTTATTTGCACTTGTGCTTTGTGCTTTTTGGGCCTGTCTACCGAGTAACAGTTGCTCTCTCTCTCTCTCGCTCCCTCTCTCTCTCTCCGCTCTGTCCGCTTGCACAACTCCCACCACACACACACACACACACACACACACACACACTAGCACAGGCTAAATGCGCGCGTGAATATATCTGAGTACACCTGCCGCTACTCTGATTGGCATTTGGCTTATTAAAACTCGCCCGTTTGGCATCGATGACCATGACCCCAATTGGGAACTGCATTACGTTAGACGATGCTCCATCCCTCAATACACGCACTCCAATTCGATAAGCCACGGTTCCAATCAGCGTACCTAAGGTCAATGTGTTAACAATCTTTTAATTTCAATTAAATTTGGCAAATCCAATCGTTATTAATTTATGAACAATTGCCGCAAATACGTACAAACATTAATTAAGTAATAGACCCACACACACACACACACACACACATGTCTAGTTATCGCAATTAGATTAACTGATTAGAGTGAGATAAAGTATTGTGCGCGGGTGGGCGGGTGGTGGGTGGTGGGTCGCACTTGCTAATTAAACATTTGCAACCGGCATTCCAAACATGCCCCACCCCCCTCCACCAGCCCTGCCCGCTTATCCCACTAATGCAAACGCATTTTTTGCCCCCCCTGTAGGCAAGTCTAACGCGTTTATTGATTGTCCCCCCTCCAACCCCCGCGCACACAAAGTGAGGCAGGCTAACGAGGAGAAGCCCCAATAGGCGTCCCCAAAAACCTTGCCAACAACGACGACGACGACGACAACAACAACAACAAGAAGCTGGCTAAAGTGATAGGTAGAATTTTTGTATGTATATTTTTTGTGGGAGCCTGCCGACTGCCGACTGCTGCCCACCGACCGCCCCCCCCCCCCCATTCACTCCTCGTGCATATCGCGCCCTCGTTTTTTATTACGCGCACATTTTACATACACTTGCACAATCGAAATTTCTAATGTGAATTGTTGTAACGGGGCAAAAGGTTTACGACTGGCTTATTTGTAATTTAATTTATTTTTTTATTTTGTTTGTTTTGTCAACACTCAGCTGTTTTCATTTAATTTTGTTGTTGTATGTAATTACTTTTTTGATTTTTAAACGCACGCAGTACGCATAATCCGATATCCGACAGAATATATCTACCACTGACGACGGCACACGTTACTATAATACTGAAACTCGGATTCTTATTGGGCTGACTCGATACATTTGTCAGCCGGTGGTATCGTTTGCGCAGCGCTGCCACCTCGCCAACAGAAAGTTGAGCAATGCGCGTGACGTCACAGTATGACGGAACTAATTTTGTTTAGGTGGCAACGTAACTGCTTGGCTCAATAGAACAAGTTCGTTATCGCTTAGTCGACATTAGATGATTATTTAAAGTTTTTTATTGCATTTTCATATACAAATTTCTTATTATTTAGAGCATAGTAACTGTTGCTTTAAAATTTTTGTCTTTATTTGGTTGTTAAAAATTATTCAAATTATTGTCAGCCTCCCCTTCATATCGATATATCATCAACATCGCAACCAAGTTTGCACATCACTCTTTACCACAAATTATTCTTGGAATGAGCCGTCGGTTCGGATAAAAATATTTATTTTATTTCGTACGCAAATCCTATCCCCTGTTATTCGTGCACTTGCGTTGAATGTGGCTTTGTGCAAGCAGGCCGATGGCTTTATAAAACCAAAGGCATTACAGAACATGGGTTCAAGCTAGTTTCAATCACTTTCACTTACACCAGCTGAAACGTCGCGGCTGAAAAAAAAGCAAAAGTGTCTTGTGTATACAAAATAGGAAAGAAGAGGCCAATGAGTGTTCGTCTCAATTGACTAACTGTGATTCACGGAACGAGGGAACTACCTAAGTGACCTCCCAATCTGGCAGCACCTTTCCAGGCTATTTAACGGACGCTGCACTTGGAGCTGGTTCGTGTGGGCATTTCAACAGCGCCAGCACGCACACACATTTACCCGCACACCGCACCCGTATCCACAAACACATTCAAGCATACAAATACAAAGCTGCGCTGTATACGCGTATAGCATGGGCAACGAGGACAATCGACGAAGGAAGACTCCTTGCGGCTGCTGTATGTCGGTTTTCAAGTGGATACCCGTTCTCTTCATATTCGCCGTAATTGGCTGGTCCTACTACGCCTATGTGGTGGAGCTATGTGTTCGTGAGTAGCCCAAATTCCGCTTCACAAGCGTAAAACGATGCTTACCTCTCATCTCTCCCTCTCTTCCTCTCTCTCTCTCTCTGTGTCTGTCTACGATCGCAGTGAAAACGGAGAATCGTGTCGCAATGGCATTTATGCTGCTCTTCTATCATATTGCACTCGTATTGTTTCTATGGTCGTACTGGCAAACAATCAGCACATCGGTGGGCCGCGTGCCGGATCAGGTAAGTCCCAGCCCTGCACACACACACACACACACAAACACACGCATGCACTCGAATGATTCACACGCTGATAAGCGCACATAAAAAAGCCTAAATATGCGATAATTGAGCGCAAGCAATTTCTAGTCTCATATCGCAATATTTCCCTGATGTCAACTACAACAATAAAATAATGTGGAAAATCTTGAATTTCAGTGGCGCATACCGGATGAGGAGGTGAATCAGCTATTCCGGGCGGATAATCAGGAGACACAGAAGCGAATTTTAAACAATTTTGCGCGCAATTTGCCGGTCACAAATCGGTAAGAATTCAAATTCCACGTTGAAAATTCAAAGAAAGTGTATCTTCGGTCTACAGATACCCTACGGAATTGTTGTATATTTGATTTACTTACATTAAATCTCTCATCCCCAACAGCACAATCAATGGGTCTGTGCGCTTCTGTGAGAAGTGCAAGATCGTGAAGCCGGATCGATCGCATCATTGCAGCGTCTGCAGCTGCTGTGTGCTAAAAATGGATCATCATTGTCCCTGGGTGAACAATTGCGTTAACTTTTCCAATTACAAGTTTTTTGTACTGTTTTTGGGCTATGCACTGATCTACTGTCTGTACGTTGCCCTAACCACGCTGCATGATTTCATCCAGTTCGTCAAGGTAAGTCGCCCCCACGCCCAATCTTCTAGCTAAAACCCAACCCACACCCCAACGTCCAGCCACGCACAGGATATCTGCAAGCATGCATTTGTTAATTTGTTGCTTGTTGCGCTTTTTGATTAACTTGACTGTGAATATATTTAGATATATATGCATACATAACTCTTTAAACATATATTGTACTTAATGTAAAATTAAAGAATGAAAATGGTCTTGGTGTCTTGGAACAGGGCCAGCCAACCGGCAACGGCATGGGACGCTTTCACATACTCTTTCTGTTCTTCATATCGATCATGTTTGCCATTAGCTTGGTGAGCTTGTTCGGCTACCACATCTACCTGGTGCTCGTCAATCGCACCACATTGGGTAAGCGAGATACTCTCACCTGTATATACCTATAAATAGTTCAACTCTCTTTCCGTTTCCTTTTGCTACAGAGGCATTTCGCGCGCCCATCTTTCGTGTCGGCGGGCCGGATAAGAATGGCTATAATCTGGGCCGTTATGCCAACTTCTGCGAGGTCTTTGGCGACAAATGGGAGCTATGGTTCCTGCCCGTGTTCACCAGGTATGTGCCCTAGATATTTCTATATATACCTATATCATTTCACGTGTTTCATTGCATTTTTTTTACTAATCTGTGCTGCACTGTCTGAACACACAAATCCCAAATCGATTCTCTGCACTCTTTTTAATTGTTGTTTTTGTGTGTGTGTGTGTCTGTGTATTTGATTTACTTATTATTATTTATTGCTTATTGCAAATAATTTATTCACACATTTGGCAAACTTTGAGGCATGTTGCAGACCGCTTTTTTAGTAGGAGCTCTCGTATATATTTAGTGTGCACCTAACAATTTACACCAATTGACATTCCTAATAGTTTTTGTAATAGTTTAAGTCGCGACAATATCTTGTACACCTGAAATAGGTAAAACTCTCCAGTGCAAATGTTATTTGATTTCTTTAAAACACAATTTAGTCTTAAGCAATAACTAAAAAAGAAAAAAACGCTACTTAAATTGGCCAATTTAGTGTTTAATGGATATCCGTTTGTGATAATATTTAGTTATAATTTGTTTATGATTTTTGTTAAAACATCTACCTGAGACAGTTAGTCCCTTAGATTTATTAAGATTTAATGCAGGAGTGTAACTAATTACTTCAAAAGCTGCTGCTAACTAATGCTTACTAAAAACAAATCTCACACCAACACCAGACTCTTCAGATATATATATATATATGTGTTTATATCAACTAAATTGTATAAAGCGCAAACATCTAACAGCAAAAAAAAAAAAAAACAATAATGAAACAATTGCAACTACCCCACAAAAACAACAAATAAACCCACGTTTTCTGTTTCAATTTATGTTAACAATTTAAAAAAAACTTTTGCTTATTCACCAACCAATCGGAAAACCAAACCAAACCAAACGAAAACCAACCAACGATTAGTAAGGGCGACGGATTGAGCTACAGAACGTCGAGCGATCAGACGGGTCCTGGCCAGCGCTATGAGGCCATGGGCAATACGACAGCGAATCCGGCCAGCAACAGGTTAGATGTCCAAGCCACAGATAAGTTGATTGACGCTATTCCACTCAATAATCATCAACCTCATCTGGAGCTAGACAACGGTCAATCATCTAGCCACAATCATCCACTAATACCGCCTAGTCAAGTCGTTGTCAATATTGAACAAACAGCAGCAGCAGGAGCAGCGGGGGGAGCATCGACAACGGCCGCTCATGCTACCAACCATGTCGTCGATATGATCGGTGACCAGGTAATAACCGCACCGGCGCCGGCTGCCAAGGATGTGAACGTGCCCAATGGCGGACCACCTGCGATACCTGCTCATAATGTTGTGTAAAATGCATTCAATCCCAATCATGTTCGATTTTTGAATACTGATAGCTGCCAGAGCTTTGTAAATGTGTGTGTGCGCGCGCGCGTGTGTGTGTGTATGTATTTAATATACTCGTAAGTCTTATGAATGGATATAGTGTGAGATAATTGTAAATGTAAAATGTATAACAGCTGTTTTTACCTGTAGCTCTGCTTGCCCAGTTCCCCACGGACTCTGTATGCAAGAATACAAATGTGTTATCCATACATATATCAATTTGAATGAGACTATATATATATATATATATACATATATTTCATTCGGAGTATGGATAAAAAGCAAATACTAAATGTAAGCTATTTGTTTTTATACAGTGAAATTGTAAGCAATTGCCAGTTTATACATCTATCGACATTAACTGATGCAGCCCGTTTTAACGGCAATATCAAGCAATATCATTAGCAATAATTGTTGAACTCTTAAATATTGGTCAATTAGCATTTAAACACAGCTCGTGTCCCATTGTTTTAACGGTCATGAGACTTTAATGCCAAAACAAACGAACATCATTTTTAGTTAGGATCATATCCGAACACAGCCCATAATACCATAATAATACACAAACGAATGAATTTGAAACTGGAACGCATTTTGATGCTTTTATTATTCTAAATAACGTAGTTAGTTTGGTTTCAAGCTTATTGCAAGTTTCTTTCAGTTTTTGCTTCTTCATTTTTTCTTAGATAGTTTACTAGTTTTTAATTTTTTATACGACAATCTTTTGTATTCAGGTAAAAAAATACTAAAATAAAATAAAACATGCGAATGACAAATATATGTATATTCTAAAAAAGTACATGTATGTGCACACGAAATACGCACAGGTATGTTTTTTAATTGAAGTCCTCCTCCTGAACTTTGTCCATCTCGCAATACGTTTGCTGCTTCTTCTATTGCACCGCATCAGCCTCCTTTCATACACGCCCATTTCGAGCACACACACACACAAACATCTCTTTTATATTCATGCAAAATGAATGAAATTTAATTCCAAAAGAACTCTCAATTTGATTACTATTTGTATTGCATTTTGAAATTTCGTTCCAATATTTTATGCCTAACAAAAATTGTTCAGCTTTGGCGATGGCATTAGCTATCCCATACGACATCTTGAGGAGGATACCGAATCGCTACTGGGCTATCATAGCGATACGCGCATCGAGCTGGAGGAGGACTTCCTGCCAGAGGCGCGCTTTCAGGACTCAATCATTCCATAGCTAATAATGACTGGCGATAATGTGGCCACGTATTATATATAGAGTTTTAAATAAGCCAGCCTTTGGCCACGGCACGCGTCTAGTCTTTAGGAGGGGTATACAATATATAAATCGTATATATATTTTGTACTAGTTTGTATATTAAGTTTAATGAGAAACATTATTGTTAAATTGTATGTTAGGCGCACCATTGTTATCAAATTCTTTGTGTCTTATGCTTGACAGTGCAAGTGACTGAATAATGCCTGTAAAATGCCTATATAGTTGCTTCTCAGCATAAATCAAACGCTGCCACACATTCCGACACAGATTCGCGTATTGTATAAAACTAATAACGGAAAACAATATTTCGTAAATTTGTTTGTCTAGATTATTAAGTGAAAATGTTACGAACAAAATATGCGGGTAGATATCGCAACTAATATACCAATATACAGAGCATTGCCATGTCATCTACATATAGTACATATATATATATATTAAGCGTGGAGCAGTACAATATAGTTAATATAGTAAAATCAAATTGAAAAATTGTATACTATAAGAACTAACTAAGATCGACAGCTTCTCAGTCGAATCGACTTAAATCCTCGTCACTGGCTGCGCTCGGAGCAACAACTGCTGCGGCAGGCACCACCTCGAAATCAGTATCGATGGCAGCCGCTTCTGCTGCACGATCGTTAAAAGGATTTGGATGCATTGGAGCTAAAGTTGGTTTGGATATTGCTGCTGTTATGGGCTGTATTGGCGTATCGTGTGCTGCTGCAGGCGTCTCGTCATGCTTTCTCTTCTTTTTCTTGCTCACAAGCACATCGCGTGCCATCGGGAAGCCTGTCTGTTCGCTGCGCGGCAACAGTTCACTCAGATCGCTCTCCACATCCGCATGCTGTGGCTGCAGTTTCTCCTGCAGGGCAGCCAACGCTATGAGCAGCGCCTCCTCGGTGCGTATGGTGCGTGAGCCCTGTTTGGGCAGCACATTCACATAGTGATCAAAGAGCAGCTCGGGCTCGTCCACTGTCAGCTTCTCGTCGTTGGCCAGCGCCTCTTCGAGACCCTGCAGGCCGCCAAATACAATGAGAATGTGATTGTACTCAATGGATTTGCTGGGCACATCGTGCACGCTGGCGCCGCGATCAGAGGTGCCGATCGTCACATCGTAGCCGCCTGCATAGGGCGATTTCGTAAAGATTTCGGAGAGCGAATGTGCAATGCGCACCTGATAGCCCCAATAGACGCCCGTCTCCCGACGCGGCTCATCCGGACTGACCAATGTGCCACGCTGTTTTCGACTGGTCTCTAAATGGAAAGCAGGCATTGATTAAATCACAATCAGTTTTGCTGGAAAATAGGACACCTACCGTTTGGTGGATCCATTTTGACTGTGACTCGCACACCTGGATCTAGGGCCTTGTCGATGAGCACATCGTTCAGCAGGCCCACATTTGCATAGCTGTGACCATCCTTGGCTTGTTTATCGCAGACGACGCCCTCGCGATAGCGAAACTTGCTTTGCTGGCGCAGATGATGCGGCGTGTCCAACGGATTAAGCAGGCCCGAGTACTTCAAGTCTTTGTGCAACGGAAAGAAGTATTTGCGCAGATATTGTGGACACTCAAGATATTGTAGGATGCGCGCCAACTGCAACGAGCTGCTACGCACTGTGGCTGTGCCATTGCCCTCCGCATCCTGCTCATAGCTACGTTTTGTTTCACGCGCCGTTGCCACGCCCACATCGTCAAATACAATCACCTCGTTGACACGGAATATGCAGGCAGCGCGTGCTATTTGGCCAGCAACATAGGCGCGCAGCTCGGCGGACTGTGCATTTTCCAGTATGGAGCCCGGCACTGCTATGCTCACTGTGGATGGATGTGGCTTAGCCTTAGCTGCTTTTGTTGTATCTGTGGCCTCCTTAGCAGCAGCTTCTGCTTCCTGAGCTCTCTCTAGGTCCTTGAGCGCTTTGTCCTGTTTTCGCTGACGTTTGAGTGCTTTTCGCTCCTCGTTAATCTTTTTCCATGATTTGTGCGGCTCCGCGGTTTTGGTATTTCGACTATTGGCTGTTGCCGCGGACATGATGGCAGGTTTCTGTTAACAAATATTGCAACTAGTTACCAATAACATTAAAAGTGATTCTAGCACGTGTGAACTAAATACGTTCCGGAACTGGAGCTAGTAGCGCTCAAAGAAGCTCGTGAGTGCTGCGATGATTTTGCTCTGCTGATATCCGTTATAAAAAGACGGCTTGTTGGAATTGGACATACATTTTTTATTTTTATACACCAAAAATAATTGCAGGTGGATTAATTTTTTTATATAATGTTTAATATTTATTACAGTTCCCTCTTAAATGCATTTAAAATTAAGCAAACAGAAAATGACACAAACAATTATATAAATGACACGACAGCACTAAGGCTATCGAAAGGAAGCTCATCACTAACATAAGCAAAACAAGAAAGTTCAATTTATGTATATTCCCTGATTATCTGATGATTTTGATTCGCTTAGTGTAAAAAAAAAGACGGCTTGTTGCAATTGAACATTAATTTTTTATATTAATACACTAACGTTTATCGCAGTTGCCTCTCAATTTAAATCTATTTAAATGTAAATAAAGCAAACTGTAAATGACACAATTACGCAGTATAGACGACAGCACTAAAGTTATCGAAAGAAAGCTCATCCCTGACATAAGCAATTCAAAAACAATTTCAATTTTTGAGTGTTTCCTGATTAACTGTACGAACGAGACAATTGAAAATTTTTAACATATTTTGTTGCAATAATGAGTCGAAATGTCTTAGCACCTCCGACTCAACGAATGAGCCACAACCGAAACTATCGCGTTAACATTGTTCACGACGATTTTGGTGGCAGCAAGTGGAACTCGGCCAATGAGAAGGCTGTCAAAGGCTACGAAGAACCCGGTAAATATAAAAGCAAAAGTTTTTCCTGTTTGCCAGCATATTGTGAAATGCATTTTTAGATCTATACGCCGATGACGATTACGAGGAGGATGGCGCCGAATGTAATATTGAGGAGCTGCCAAATGGCAGCTACAAACTGGCGCTGCATGTGCCCAAGTAAGTGACGAAATAGAAGTTGAGCTTATTGTGATTCAATTCAACTGTGTGGACCTGCAGATCCTTCTATGGTGGCCTGATTGGCTTCAAGGGCTCCACAAAGCGTCGCATTGAATCTGAAACTCAGACGGAGATTTACGTGCCTCGCCACAATGAGACGTCTAGTGATTTAATTATCCAGTCCAGCGAACGCAGCAATGTGTGTGCCGCTCTTCGCAAAATACGGCTACTCATTGATTCGCTGCGCAAGCGCATGAGGGCAACTCATTTTCTGGCTGTTCCATTAAACAAGGGCGAAGTGCAGAATCGTTTCATCGAGTTAAAGGTAAACGTAGGTTTAATCATATGTGAAATATCTTAACCCTGTACCACAGCAAAGCATTTTAGATGCACAGCTGCCAGGCATCGACGAGGAGCTATTCATATCAGAGCGCTGCATCCATATCACCTTGGGCGTCTATGTGCTCCTGGATGATGCTGAACGCAAAGAAGCCGTTAATATGCTGCAAACCTGCCGGCAATGGCTGGTTGATTTAAAAACGCCCTTTGAGATAAAAGTAAAAGGCCTGGAAATTATGAACGATGATCCCAGCTCGACCAGAGTGCTATACGGTACTGTGGAGGCACCAGAGCTGCAGGAGTTTGCTGACAAATGCCTGAAGCATTTCCAAACCACCGGCCTCTGTGCCACCGACAACAACGAACGCGATAGCATTAAGCTTCACATGACGGTACTGAACTGTCGTTATCGTAGGGAGAAACTGAACAAGAATGATCGCAACGCCTTCGACGCACGCGAGATTCTTAAACGTTTTGGAGACTATGACTTTGGCACGACTCAGTGCAATGAAGTCCATATGTGTGTGCTCAATTCGTCCAAGGAGGTCGATGACTTCTACAAGACCACGGGCAGCCTGAAATTCTAGGCAGTCGTTATATGGCGACCGGATGCAAATATTTATCAATTCCAGAAGTTTCGTATCAAACATTTCTTTTATATAAAGTCAGAATACAAATATACTGTACAGTGCAGGCCAACTGAACTGAACTGAACTATCCCATTGGCCATCACTATTTCCTATACCAAGCCCTTATTGACTTCATTGATATGATGCACAATAATAATACAATAACTTTTAAAATGCAAAGTAGAAATTATTGATAAGCTAGTGCCTTATAAGACCCAGTCGATAGGGACTGTTAGTCAGTGTTATTTTGTTCACCCGCTCGCGATGAACATTATCCGTACCTTAGCTTTCGCCTTTTGTGTTGCATCAGCTTTTCTGCCTTCTATAGCCGTTGAGACGTGTTAGTATACATATATATGTTCATTCTTAAATATGACTATAACATTATGTTTTCTCAAGATGAAATTTGTACCAGACAAGATGGACTTTCTGGACATTGTAAGCCCTTAAGAAATTGTCCTAAGATTTTTGAAATGATCCGGCGCAAGCCACATACGACCGTTGAATCAAACTACTTAATGAATTCAAAATGTCCCATAAATAGAAGAGTTTGTATAAATATCGATTGCGAATTTTTTATAGCTGAAAAATGAGAGTTTCTTCCATCTCATAGTACGTCTGCTGCGAAGAAGAGGAGAGTGCGGGTATGGCAATATTGAAGGAACAGGACTGTGGATACTTTGGTGGAACATTAAAGACAATCGGCGGAACCGAAGTTAAATTAATGTCAAGGCCTTGGATGGCTCTACTTATGTTTATATATAACGGGACTGAAGAATTTAATTGTGCTGGCACCCTAATAACAAATCGTGAGAACTTGTCTATTATAATAAATAATATGATCTTTAAAACAATCCAATACAATCTAATTCTCAGGCTTTGTACTAACCGCCGCGCATTGTTTCAATCGTCAAGAATTGTAATTATTTCCTGATTATCATGCGAATATTTCTTATAAATATTATACCATAGAATGTTTGTGCGTTTGGGGGAACACAAAATATCCAATACAACAGACTGCGCTTGGGTGAAATCAAGACTTATATGCGCGCCGCCAGTTGAGGATATATCGTTTGAAAGGATCATTGTGCACGAGAATTACTCGCAACAATCTAAACACAATGACATTGCATTGATAAAGCTATCAAAAGACGTCGAGTTCAAACGTATGTATTTTATTAAACTAGCTCTTCAAGTTCTAAATCTATTTATATGCCACAGGACATATTAGGCCCATCTGCTTGCCTGTGAATGCAACACTCCAACAACAACCGGAAGAAATGGAAGAGTTCCACGTAACTGGTTGGGGCAAAACCGAAAAGGAACCCGTTTCTGATGATCCTATGGAAACCGCTATCCCAAAAAAGCAACGCAGCGACTGCCAAAAATTCTTTGTATTAGAAGTGAGGAAATCCCAATTGTGCGCTGGTAACCTTGGCAAGGACTCCTGTAATGGCGATTCTGGTGGTCCTTTATTATACTTGAGCGAATATAACGAGAAGCAAAGGTACGTGCAGTTCGGTATAGTTAGCTACGGCTCGACTAATTGCGGTAATGAGTATCCCGGGGTGTATACAAATGTTGGCAGCTATATGCGCTGGATAGCCGATAAAATAATCGCCAATTAGTTGGCGGCTTGATGTATATATCGAATATATATATCTATATATGGAAATAAATTTATTATGCCTATATCGAAATGGTTTCCTGTAACTGAGACAAGCGCTGCCCATTGCGTCTCAGTGCCAGCATCCAAGTTGCAGATTTTGGCTGGCTCTACTTTTCTATCGGATGGCGCGCAACGGTTGAATTTTTATAGCTACATAGGAAGATATGGAATCGCAGCGGAACTGAACAAGCGTTTGATCTGGTTGGTTTTTATTTAACCGCATGTACGTATGTGGTTCAATGCACTTCCCGAGGACTAAAAGCTTGACGTCATGTGGATGAATATTCTCTGACGGGGACGGACAGTTTGTCGTCTGATTCTGCTATTGGCAGCTGAGAGTAGAAAGGTAAGGCCGCAACCAGCCTCAATGCGCAGCTCTCTCTGATTTTGGCACTTGAAGCTGACAACAAAGATGCTGTCAATGAGCTGGATTAATCACAACTTCCGATGCACTTAAGATCCTAATACGCCCAAAATTTTAGTAATTATTTGCAATTGTACATGGAAGCTGGCTTAAAGTTTTATAATTATAGTATAATATCATCGAGCTCAACGTACACAAATTTATCTACAGACCGGGAAATTCTTATCAAACATTTCTATTAATAACTAACTGAGCTGCAAAACATAAAATACAATATATACTTTGGGGTGCATTTCTTGATATAACAAATGTTCTCGGATATAATATTTATTGTTATTATTTATTATTTATTTATTTATTTATTTATTTATTAATGGTCGACAAATTGAGTGTTATATTTCCAAGATACCATGCAAAAGCTCAATTATTGATAAGCCAGTGTATTGAAAATATGTTGAACCTTTAAAAGGGCCAGTCGTTCAAGATTTGTCATCAGTCAAATTTGACCAGCCATTCGCAATGAAAGTTATCCGTGGCTTTGCTCTCGTGCTTTGTGTGGCGTCAGCTTTTATGCCTTCAATAGCCGATACCACTTGTAAGTATATATACATATATATTCACTCTTAAGAATCACATAACATAATGTTTTCTGAAGATGAAAGTTGTACCAGACTCGATGGAATTTCTGGACATTGTAAGCCTTTTAGAAATTGTCCCAAGATTTTAGAAATGATCGGGCACAAACCGCTTACGACTGTTGAACTAAACTACTTAGCGAATTCAAAATGTCCCATACCTAAAAGGGTTTGTATAAATTTCGATTGCGAATTTTAAAAAGCTGAAAATTACGAATTTCTTTCATTCCATAGGGTTTTGCATGCTGCGAAGAAGAGGAGAGTGCGGGTATGGCAATATTAAAGGAACAGGACTGTGGATACTTTGGTGGAACATTAAAGACAATCGGCGGAACCGAAGTTAAATTAATGTCAAGACCTTGGATGGCTCTACTTTGGATGAGAAAGCTCGGGTATGATCAGTTTCATTGTGCTGGTACCCTAATAACAAAACGTAAGAACCTGTCTATTATAATATACAATATGATCTTTAAATTAATCCAATTTACAGGCTTTGTACTAACCGCCGCGCATTGTTTCAATGATCAAGAATTGTAAGTAATTTTGATTATCATGCCCGCATTTCTTACAAAAATTATACCACAGATTATTTGTTCGTTTGGGGGAACACGCGAAATCCACAACAACAGACTGCGCTTGGGAGAAATCAAGACATATATGCGCGCCGCCAGTTGAGGATATATCGTTTGAAAGGATCATGGTGCACGAGAATTACTTGAAACAATCTAAACACAATGACATAGCATTGGTAAAGCTATCAAGAGACGTCGAGTTCAAACGTATGTATTTTATTAAACTAGCTCTTCAAGTTCTAAATCTATTTATATGCCACAGGACATATAAGGCCCATCTGCTTGCCTGTGAATGCAACACTCCAACAACAACCGGAAGAAATGGAAGAGTTCCATATAACTGGTTGGGGCAAAACTGAGCATGAATTGTTGTCTGATATTCCCATGGAGAGCAAAATCCCTAACAAGCCTCGCGAAGACTGCCACAGATCCTTTCACACGGATATAAGAAAAACCCAGCTGTGCGCTGGTAACCTTGGCAAGGACTCCTGTAATGGCGATTCTGGTGGTCCTTTATTATACTTGAGCGAATATAACGAGAAGCAAAGGTACGTGCAGTTCGGTATAGTAAGCTATGGTTCGACTATTTGTGGTAATGGGTATCCCGGGGTGTATACAAATGTTGGCAGCTATATGCGCTGGATAGCCGATAAAATAATCGCCAATTAGTTGACGCTTTTATGTGGATATCTAATATATAAATATGGATATAAATATATAAATTGATGTATGCCTATATCGAAATGGTTTCCTGTAACTGAGCCAAACGCTGTGCATTCGTCAATTTCCAAGTGACACAGGACAAAGATGTGATGAAGAAGCCAATGCCTGAAATTGGGAATTTCTCAGTTCAAATCTACGACAGACGACAAGTTCCACTTACCCATTAGTAGTATGGCCTCGGAAGTTTCATCCTGCCACGCCTTGGATACTACACAGAGCAGTATAAACCCGCTGAGCAGGCAAAAGGAGCCAACGAGTACAGCCAAGGTGATGAGTATGGTGACCGGGTCGGGTTCGTTGAGCGTCTTATAGGGAAACAGAGCTTGGCACAGCGAAGCCTTCTTCGAGTCACTGCTGTGCGAGCTGCAAAACAACAAACCAATATTAAAAGATTACACTCCAAAGAAAGGAATTTAGTTACGCACCATGATTGTGCATAGGTTGGTAGAACGGGCACGCTTCTGCATTCCATGACGCTGCACGTTGCACTGGGCTCCTTCTCAGTGCCAGCATCCAAGTTGGAGTTTTTGGCTGGCTCTACTTTTCTAAATATACATATAGGCACCAGCCGGCTGATGCGTCGCGTGTCTGGTCCTATAGGATGGGGCGCCGCGGCTGTATATTTATATTTATAGCTACATAGGAAGTGGCAGATTTGGAGTCGCAGCGGAACTAAACAGCCCTTAGCTCTGTGGAGCCTATATTTAGCCCGATGTGCGTTTGTCAAGTTCAATGCACTTAGAATATCATTCTTTGGCTGAGATACTAGATAACATACCCTATATGTTATCGCTGATATCTAAAATTATTCTCGATTTTTCCTTTTATTATTTGTGATCTGCCATCAGCAGCTGCGAGTTGAAAGGTCAGGGCGGAACCTAACTAACAATATGCTCAGTTTCTGCTTCATTCATTGCTGTTAGCTACCTGGTTGGGTTTTCCTTACCTGGGCGCATTTTGAGTTTTGGGCTCAGTTTGAGGCGAGCCTTCGAAGGGACATAACCAACTAGCTGCGAGAATGCCGCAATTGAAGCAATTGTTGCTGGCTCCGGCTTTGCACATGTTGCAGTTGCCACAGCGCGTTCTTGACCAAGTCTTCCGCTTTTGCCATTTGCCCCATTTTCAACGTTATTTGCGGTAAGTGCGAGACGCTAGACTATTTGACGCACAGCTCGCTCAGTTCTCTTTCTGTTTGCTGCAGATTTGTGGAAAGGAATCTCTGCCCCGTTTAAGAGCAGTCCAAATCACAACTAATTGCAGCGTCATCTGGCGCATGACAACATTGTATTACCCCAAAAGCGGAGAATATTTTGCGCCGCAATTTCGAGTTTTATGTTTTTGATTCCCCGCACGTAGTCATTCGCATGCCAAAAAATAATTTGCCTGACGATTTCATATTGAGACACTGTTGAAAGATCTGCAGAGCGGCGATTGCCAGCGGAGATCACTTTCAGAACGTACGGGGTTTTCTCCACAATTCTCTGTAAGTAATCTCGCTCTGTGGGTAAAACACACTCACACACACAAGCACACAAGCACACAGCCCGCGCTTACAATAAAAGTGTTGAGTTGAGTTCTTGACATTGTTAGTTCAATTCCTACGCTTGATTAGTGCACACAATTGTCTATATATCTCTGTATAGATCGTGTATATATAAATTAAAGTATAAACTATTAGAACAATGGCCGATTGCAAACGAAGTTCTTGTTATCGCGCATTCGAGTTTGTTGTGCGCGCCTTTGCGATTGCCAGCCTGCTTATCGTTATGACCGCCATCTATCGGCAGGACGATGATCCTGGCTCCCACTATTTGCATCCCAGACGAGTCATGCAGTAATGCCGCAAACTTAGTTATACCTCCTTTGTACTTAATCAACCACACAAATTACTTTAGTATAATGTTTATTAATATAAAATAAAAAGAAAATAAATTTGTTGTAATGAGAATATTTCAAACTAAATACTGATAAGGCGTTCGAGAAGCAAAACCAGTTTTGATAGGAAATAAGCAGGCTTGCATTTATGATTTCAATTTTTGCATATAACTTGAATTATTTGTTTACTAACATTGCGCTTTTCCCCAGCGACCGCAATTAGTGCAATCAATAACTGGCGTATCGTCAGATATCTTGGGAATTGCCACGAATCGAGTCTGATTTATAGCAAGAACTCAGTCGAGCGCGATATCGCCCATATATATGTATAGTATATAATGTTTACAAAACAAGTTTCGATTTATTAAACACGTATGTAAATGCCCTGTAAGCTAGTATAATATTTCTTATAGCTACCCCATATTTCCGACAACCTGTTAACAACGAATCGTCTATCAATTGGCATCGTTTCCTCTGTCTTCATTCAAATGTGAGTTGATTCAATGTTTGCAGCTGCCCTGGCTGCATCCCGTTCAGATTCCTTGGAAGTCTTTGCACTAGCAAAAGCTCCTAGCTCGGTTCTACGCTCCGTGCTCGCAGTTGCTGCTCCAGCTGCCTTCGGGAGATGCGCATCGTCTTGTGCCTTCCTGGCTGAGTGCCTGCTTCGCAGCAGAAGTTTCATAGCTGGCAATAAATAATTGAATGGATTCGGTGCCGCAATGAAATGACATTTTTATAGTAATAATGCAAATGCATAGCTGGCCAGGGCTTGACAATTGTTTAAACAATTTTAGGCCTGCTTCCTGTTCATCTTTTAAACTGCACTCATGTCGCAAACATCGGAATGCGAGAAACGTAACTTTTTCTTTTTTTTTTCCTTCTTATTTTTTGTATGTGGGAGTTCTTTCAACGGAACGCTCTCAACTCCCGTGCTTTTCAAGGTTACAGCCCCCAGTTGAGCTCTGTTTCTGTGCAAATTTCAATATTCATATATTATTTATTTGCCGTTTTCTCGTTTTATTTATTTTCGCTTTTGTTCTTACCATATGTTGCCGATTGATTCATCGAGATCTTATGATTAATATAATATGTCAAGGCGATTGAGATGTGATTATTATGTTAAGAGTTTCTACTTATCTACTACTTAATACTATTCTAATTATATTGTTTATTTATAATGTATTTGAAGAACTAGAATTTGAAAGGCTGTTGAGCTATGCACATTTATACTACTTGCCACTAGGTGGCGCAGCAGAAACACAAAACAATTTTGTTTTTCTCAAACCAAGGCCCAGCATGAACCACATTCCCTCGTATGCCACTAGGTGGCGCCAGCAAAAGTAAAGCATGCATAACTGAAGTAGTACTAGTTTATTATTAAACATGCAAGGTTTACTGTTCATAAATTAATTGTACTCAATGTGCAAGTCGTCGTAGTGCTTGCGATTAACTTGAATTTAAAAACTAGTTATTTTGATGCGAATATATTGATATAAATTGCACCTACTTGTCACATCTGACGCTTTAAAACCCAGCTCAAGCTGTAAATGTGCGGCAGTGACTGTTAATCGGTTCTAACATGAGGTCTACTAAGTCAATATTATTTCTTGTCGGACTGGTTGCTATCTGTGCAACTAAATCTATCTGTATGACATCTAATCGATTGCTTAATTAGAGATTAATCCGGATGGACTGCGTATACTGGAGCAACAGAATTGTGGCATCGGCAAAAATGTTCGATTAATAGGGAATGCAACTGAAGTTATTCCCGGATTGAGACCCTGGATGGCACTAATTAACAATAACGATACGAGCAAACCATATTATTGTAATGGGACTCTTATAACGGATCGTAAGTGACTACTGGCACAACTTTCAAATTGAAAGTTTACTATTCAATACCCATTTTTATATACAGAATTCGTTTTAACTGTTGCGCATTGTGCTACGCAAGTTGAGTTGTAAGTAAGCCAATTAAGGATCTCCCAAATGATAGATGAAAAAAAACAGCTTAAGGTTGGAAAACTTTTTCAAGTACATTAAAAGTATTTTTCTTTTTATTATAACAGAGAATCTGTGACCTTGGGCAACAACAATCTATTAACTGATGAGGATTGTTTCAAATCTAAGAACTCGAATGTAATCAATTGCTTGCCGTCAGTTGAAAGATTTGGTATCGAAAAGGTGATTGTGCACGAAGATTTTACATTTAATGAGGTTTACGCAAATGATATAGCTCTACTAAAGCTCTCCAGAAAGGTTAAATTTCAAGGTTAGTTTCTTCGTTAACATATATTTACTGTTCAATACTAATTAACTGATTTATTGCCAGATCACATCAGTCCCATCTGTTTGCCAGTGAATGCAACCCTGCAACAACAAGCGGAAACTCTGGCAACGCTGCAACTAACGGGTTGGGGCGATGACGAGCACGACGATAATAAAAAGACTATATTGCGTGAGACAGCAGTGGATACTTCTATCGAAGGTCGGAAAAAATGTATAGAAAAAATTGCTCGTTTCGGACCGGGAGGGATCTACGATTTGTGTGTCCTTAAGAAACCCGTCTTATGCTTCGGTATATCTGGCGCTCCGTTTAGTAGTTCGGTTGAATACTCCGTAACACAACGTTTTGTGCAGTTTGGAATTATCAATGTGGGCATTAGCGACTGTGTTACGACTGCTGGTGTAAAGGTTGCGAACTATATGCCATGGATAACCAGCTGCACAGTAATATCAATATGGTATTTAGTTATTTCCCAAATGAAAATTACATTATTTTTCATAGTATGCAATCGAACGTATATTTCTTAAAAAGCGTTTTTGCTGTTTGATATATATTTACATATACATATTTGGTTATACACTAAGAAGAAGAATTTGTCATGGCGTTATCTGTATTTCACAGAGTCGATGGCATCGGTCAAAATGTCTGAACCACGACGAATTTGTATTTTCAGTCAATTCTGTCGCATTCCTGGCCGAACAAAAAACAAAAACCGGTTCCCAGATGACCCATATATCCTTGGTTTTACCATATCATCGATAGAGTCCTGGTGAACGTACAGTTTCAAATCCGTGCGAAATTCACTCGGAAATGTTCCTGAAACATGAATGTATGCGTTTTCTTTCAGCCGCCTCAGCATCAGCCTCTTCTCCCTCCATGGTTCCTAGATGACCCATATATCCTTGGTTATACTATACCATTGATAGAGTCCTGGGGATCCAATAGTTCCAAATCCCAGCAAAATTCGCTTGAAAGCTTTATCCCCAATTAAATTAAGATTTAAAATTTAACGGTGACAAAATTCCATTTCACTGGGCCTTGGCCGTTGGCTCACATTTTGCAAATCAAAATTCAGCTGAAATACCAGGCAAACAGAAATGGCCAGCAAGTAGATGCACAGAAATTTTGTTTGCAAAATTGATGACTTGCAAGTTTTTTAACAGACCACTGTTAAGCAGCTGTTATTTAACAGTTCTTTGTTAAGTCGCTGTTAGTTAACAGTTCTTTGTTAAGTCGCGGCGGACAAAACGACATAATTTCGCCATGATCAACGGCGGAGTTATGTAGTTTCAAAACGACATATCTCCGCCGTTGTCCGCCGTTGTCCGCCGTTGTCCGCCGTCAGAAAAAATGCAGAACGACATAATCTCGCCATGATCAACGGCGGAGTTATGTCGTTTTGAAGCGACATAGCTCCGCCGCTCTAAAAACTTCACACGTCCGCCTGGAGATATGTCGTTTCAAAACGACATAATCTCCGTCGCTCTAAAAACTTCATACGTCCGCCTGGAGATATGACGTTTCAAAACGACATAATTTCGCCATGATCAACAGCGGAGTTATGTCGTTTTGAAACGACATATCTCCCGCGGACGTGTGAAGATATTTTTTCGAAAACTTTAAATGGCCATATCTCGGCCAAATAAAGCCCGATTGCGGTCAAAAAGGGAGGGGTTTCTCGCGGAGGCCCATAGAATCGAATGCCATCCACCTTTTTCGAATTCGGAAAAATGACATTTTTCGAAAAAACGTGATGGTTACACTGTATTTTTGGTCATTTTGGGTAATCTCTTAGAATGTGGATTCTTGGGTAGCAATCGATGGTCGGGATCCGTACGAGTAGAAAGAGGCATATCATTCCCAAATCGGACTGTAGTTAGCCGAGTTATTTCCATTTTAATATTCATTCAAGTTTTGCTGCAATGTGTAAATTGTGAATGGTTTATTTTTACGCGCGGGCCAAAAGTATGCTTTAGAAAAGCTACTCTAATAGGCTCAAGCGAATTATGTGAACAGCTCGAAAGTATGCAATGCTTTGCTTTACTTTTATGTCCACAACCCAAGCAATTTTTTTGCAAAAATTGAAAGGGCTATTTCGGCCAAATAAACCCGATTGCGAAAAAATTAAAATAAAGCTATAGTATAAAAAAAAAACAAATGCAATTTAAAGTATCTGAACAATATTTTAGAAATAGCCACGGTCAACTAGAAGCCATCGGTTTCTTGTACATGTATTTAGATAGTTTATATTTAAAAATACTTGAATATATACAATAAAAAAACTACAAAAGTATGCACTTATATGGCAATGGACAAGGGAATCGCAATCTCCCTCGACGGCTCGTCTACTTGTTGAAGTTCTCAATCTGCTGGAGCACCCAGCTGCGCGATGCCGCCTGGCTGAGATGCGGTGGACAAAGCACCACACTTGGATGTTGGCCAAGCAGCTCATGTAGAACTGCTTTCGTTGGCTTGGGCGCTATTTCAGGCGGCGACGGCGATGACGGCGCCAGATGACGGTCCGCTCCAGACGAGGAGGGGGGCGGCGGTGGTGGACTGCGTGGCCGCTTTAGGTCGTAATCAATGCTGCGCTTTTCATTGTTGTCATCACTGTAAATGGCCGAATCGCGGAAATCATTCTCCAGACTATCCTCCACATGCTGCTCGTACTCGAAGCCGGCTGCTGGCAGCTCGGCGGCGGAGCGTTTCCGCTGCTGCTCACACATGCTGTCGCTTGACGTGCACGAGGAGGAGGTGAGCGAGAAGACAGAGTCGCGCTGCAGCGACGCCTCCGAGCTGGCTATGATGCTGAAGAGCGTCTTGGGATCTGCATAATCCACATGCGCCATGCGCTCACCCACTGCCTCGCTGCCCTGGCGATGCAGTATGCTCTGGCGGCACATTTCGCTCACATCCGAAACGCGACGTTCGGGCGGCCGATTGCTGCGTCCAAAGGCCATGCTTAAATTATCAATGGACTTGAGTGCACGCGGCAGCAGCGAAATCTCCGAGTGGCTAACGTTCTCCAATGTGCCCTTATGGCCATTTCCGGAGCCATTGCTGAGCAAACGCTTTATTAGGTTCTTTGGTATGGGACGCGCATAGAGCGCATCAATCTGATCCGCCTCAGTATTGGACTCCAGGCTAAGATTGATGACAGTTGTTTGGCTGTCACGCTTGACCGTCGAGCCGGAGCTGGACTCGGAGCCGGTGCTGTCACGCTGCTGCTGCACTGCATCCTCGCCGACACGCTGCAGCACGCCCTCCGGCGAGTACACCAGGGTGACATAGTCAGATTCGGGCCGTGGCGCTGGCGCTGGCGCACGCTTCTCACGCTGCTTGAAGTATTGCACGGACTTGGCGCGTCCCAGCACGGGTGAGAACTTGTAGGGCACATGTACATTACGCAGCAGCGTCTCATAGATGGGCTCCTCCATCTCCTCCACCTGCTGCTGCTGCTGCTTGGCCAGTTCCTGTTCCGCGTCTAGGGGCGGCGGTGAGCGCGATGGCGGACGTGGCGGCAACGGTGGCGCCTCCTGGCCAGGGCTGAGCGGCGACAGCGGCGTTGTGGCCTGGCTGCTGTCCCGTCGCTGCTTCTGCTGTTTGTTCTTGTTGTAGATGCGCTCGAACTCCTTGTTGTTCTTGAGCAGATCGAGCACAATCTCCGCATCACGCCTGGACTTTTCGGCTGGTGAGAGCGTCGATGTTGATGTCTCCAGCTGGCTGGCATAATACTGTTCCGGCTGCGGCGATTGAGTCTCCTGCGCCTCCTCGGCCAGCTCGAGATCCTCGGTGGATTCGGTTATCTTCAGCACCGTGCTGTCAAACTCGCTGAGATCCATGTAGAACTTTGAACAGCTCTCCTTGCGATTGCCACTGCTGCCCCGCTGTTTCTTTAGCGTGGCAATGCGCTTGGGCATGGTCTTGTGGTTGTATTGCTTCACCTCGAAGTAGCCCTTGCCCTTGGCCTTGCGCTCGCTGAGATCGGGCTTGCTGCCGCGCAGCGAGGCGGAACTATCGTCATCCGCCTCCCGCTGCTCGTCGAGGCTGAAGCCGCCAATGCGTGGCACCGACTTGCTGCGCTCTTTCAACGCCTTGTAGCTAAACACTGGACTCTGGGATTTGGTGCGACTGCGCTGGTCACGCAGTATGCACAGGCACTGCTCATTATCCTGCTCCTGTGACGCACACTTGCAGTGCTCCTTGCTGGGACTGGACTTGCCGTCGCGCTTGCCGCCGCTCCGATATCTCACAGCAGCGGCCAGTTTCTGTAGCGCAGTATCATCCAAGCTATTGTTGCGCGCCAGCGCCTTGGCGGGCTTAGCTGCTGGCTGCTGCTGCTGCTCCTCGGGCTGTGGCTGCTCCAGCGATTCATTGAAGCTATCAAAGGAGCCGGAGTTGGCGATGGTCTTTCGCTTGAACTTGGAGTTCCGCTGACGTATCTCGCTGCGCCGGCAAGCGTTGCGCCTCTCCAAATATGTGGGCGTCGAGTTGCTGCTGGAGTTCAGGCTCCACTTCCAGGTGCTGCGATCCGGCGTGCGCTCTGCACCAGGGCAATAGACAGAAGAGAAAAGAAGAAAACAAAAAGTTTGAATTAGTCTCTTGTCGTAGCACAAAGGGGCGTTACGCAAGCAGAGGCTGTAATGGGAAGGGCAGTAGATGATCGAAGGCGGACGTTGGCTGTGGTCAAACACCAGCAACATTCTCTAAGCACTAGCAACCAGAGCAACTGCATCAATAAATGCCATCAACATTCCAACACATGCTGTCAGAGAT